GCAGCTGTGTAATGTGGCTGAATTTTTCCAAGGTAACTGTCTTATTTCAGATGCCTTGTCTGAAACATCTCAAAATGTGTTTTCACAGATATGTAGGTGTTGTCCAAGATCTTTGCGTGAAGAGCTTTCTATGGCTCTTATGTTAATCGATGTATGTTAGAACCAGAAACTGACTGTATTTGTGAAGGCCAATTTTCAAGTAGTATTTATGTAGAGATTGTAGTAGGGTTGGTATGATGGTTTATTTTGGGATATATAGAGCTATTGCAGTTACGTGATAACTGAATTATTTTTCCCTACCTAATTAGCAGCAACCACCTATCCTATATTTATGAGCACTTTTAGACTGTTTTACCATGAAGTTGATGAGCTTAACCTTAAACAGGAATTTCAAACTGCTTTCAGTGGTAATTTGGGGTAGCCTTTTTAGCCTAAACTAGATTTAAATGACATTGTAGCTGAGTGGTGGTAATTAACAACATGGAAAAAGATAGCTTCTTAAATAATTGCAGAGGCATAGCTGACCTATGAACTTAGTTGATTTTGATGCAACTGACAGTACGCATAGGTTCTTGTTCAGCACGTAATGTACCGTAAACCATAAATATTGGTTCAATACTGTAAATACTAAAAAAAAATTTGTTGTATGATGTACTACATATATAAGACTAAGACATAACTAAAGAAAAATATCAACGTTTTTAGAAATTGAGGTATGACATTTCACCAATGCAAGGATAGTACTTCAAAGATTTATTCTTTTTTTAAGGTGTAGGTCAAATTCAGATTCTCTACTTTCTTGGACTGAAATGAGTTAAAATAAAAATTACAGATAGTAATCATTGAACAATTTCTCAGAGAGTGACTACTAGAAAAATGGTATAGTATGTGGTACTCTAGTTTGTGGTGCATATTAGAAGGATTTAAGAAGAGATGAAGAGGGAGAGGATAACCTTGGAGTGGAAGTCCTAGGGAAGATATTCTGTATACCGATGTGATCTTTCATTGTTTATTCAATGTAGAGAAGCTCTTGATTTTTGGATTTTGCCTATTAAAGGTATTGTTACCTATTTGACTGAATCATTTTTTTTTTTTATTCCAATGCCAAGTCTGAACTTTCACTTCCTTGGGAAAAAAGTAATTTAGCTAAGTTTCAGGTTTTTAGAAGATGATAGGTTGGAGAGAAATTCCTCAAAGCCTGTAGCAGCAGCATGAAATTATGTTAGTCAAAGGAAATGATACTCTCATAAGCAGATTTTTCTCATATTACTAAATTATTAGTTTTAAAATTGTTATATCTCCCTTTTTTCTCACACTTTGAGAGGATTTGGAGGTGAGGTGCTGGTAGGTTAAGAACTGTCTAAATGAAGAGAGGAAAAATATACTTTTTGTTTGTGTACTGGTAACCTGATAGGATTAATGCATGGTCATACCCATGAAACTTACTGTAAGAGAAAATTGCTTTCTTCTTCATCTGAACTAATGGAACTTAGAGGTGAATGTCCCAGGGCATGAGATAGGTTGTTTTGCTGAATAAGGTAACTTCGGGATGAAAGGCTAAAATATTATTTGGAAGTTATGTGTTGGCTTAAATGCAGCTGCCAGCTTCTCTCCTTATCTGTATAGGCACTGAGAAATAGTGAAAAAAATCTCTTTATGTATTGTGGGATTGTCAGTATTGGAAACAACTACTGACCCTGTAAATGCCAGGCTATTACCTCAACATAGAAACCCAGTAATTTAAAATAATTGGTATTTTGTAAGGTAGATTGAATTTCTAGTATTTTTCTTATTGCTTGCCTACTTCACGATAGGACTCTTTTTATCAAGAAGCCTCCAGTCTCTCTCCGTGTCTGTCTGTCTCTCTCTCTCTCCACTCTCCATCTCACACATACACATAAACACACAGAGAATATTTGAAAATTGCTACTACCACCATCAAGTCAAGGAGGGTGCAACACATTCATTTCTACCCTGCTATTCTTTTCATACCAACGACAGCATTTCAGCTAAAAGACCAGTCTATCGATTTTCCTGTTTCACCTTGCTTCTGAAATGAACTGCCAGCTTCCAGGATGGGTACCTTATTTGCGGGGCTGTCTTGTGAAGGAAAGAGCAATATGCCAAAACTCAGTGGCACAATGGTCCTGTTTTCAGTGATGGTGGGATCTTCTGTAATACTGAGGCCTCCAGACTGGACTTGAGAAAATTTAGATAAAATCGTGTTAGTATTTAGGAAGCCATTTATATAACTTTCCCTCCAAAAGGGAAACACTTAAAAAAAAATAAAGAAATTCAACATCTTTCCACCCTCACAATCCCTCTAAGAAAAGCACAAGTCTGATAAGATTTTAATTGTTTAATATATAACAATGAAATCTCCTCATATTTGATACCTCAAGAGGAAATTTAACTATTCTGCAGTTTGAAGTTTGCTAAAATCTTATAACATAAATCAATTTATTTATTTATAAACAAAAACACACAAACACACAAATCCTTTAATATTAAATATATAGAAGACAATGTTTAGGCTGGAGGGAAAAAAAATGGACACAAACATCTGTGGTTTATTCTATTGTAAAGGAGGAAGCTGAAATTCTGCTGTTGGACTGGTAACAAAAGATAAGTATGTAATGGAGTTACTCCAGGTTTCTGACTGTAAGTAAATACTGATTTTATCTATTATAGAAATAGTAGTACTGTGAGACTTCATAAACAAAAGGAAGTTTGGATACAGTTCCTATTCAGTGAAACCACTCTCTTTTGTGTAGCTGTAATCCAGCACAGTTTTCATTTTTATTCCTGCTCTCCTCTTTAGAGCTACAAAATCTAAACCTAATGCCCAGTTCACAAATCAATTTAAAGTGTTTCTTTTTTATACCTACTTGAACTACAGTCACCGGAAAAGAGAAATTTGAGAGTTCTGACTGCTCTTTTATCTTACAAAAAGTCAGCAAATATTGTGTTTGTTAATTTCCTACATAGACTATATATTTTTCTGATGGGAATTGCTTTATGCACTCTATATTGCAATGTATGCAACTTGTTTAGATAAACTGAGATCTAGATAGTCTAGTTAAATGATAAATAACCTGGTTTTGCGAGGTCCATCTGAAACCTACTTAAATTTGCCAATAAGAGCGACAACTTTCTGTGAATCAGATAGCATTTACTCGTTGGACTAAATCTCCTTACTCAGATTGAAGAGTCTCATCTTCTGCTATTAACTCAGCCCAGTTCTGCTAGTTGTAATTGACTAAATTTCTCCTCCCCCCATCCTCATTTTTTTTCAGCTCTTCAGAAAGAAGATCTTGGCCCAATTGCAAAGGACATGTCCTCATTCTCCTTGTTAGCGCTCTGGGGAAAGGATTTAAAAGAGAGTGAGTCAGTGAAGGAGATCTCCTAAGAGCCAGGCATTTGGAATTGGCATGATTTATGTATGTGGATTAAAACTTTAATCTTTATAACTTTAAAGTAAAGTATTTGAGAATGTACTTGAGCTAAATACCAATAGACAACTATTATATTTTGAATTGATTAGTACTATGCTAATGTGAAATACAGCTCATATTCATAAAATACCGACAGAATTATGCAGAGTGGGTGGATAGGAACTAAATAATATATTAGAACTAGCTGAGGGCTATCTGAGGGGCAAGGATATTAAAATGTATGGTTTTAGGATAATGTTTGAATAACTGATGGGCAAGAGTCAAGGCTGAGTAGAGAACTGGGACAAAAGTAACCTGTTCTCAGTAGTGTACACAAACAGGTAAGAGTGACCAGTTTTCGTGGTTGGAGCTAAACAGAACCATTTTCGTGTAGTGAGTTTTAATTTTCATCTTAGTCTCTTCTAAGAGGCTGCGCTTTCTGAAGTTAACAGCGTATTTTTGCAGTGTCTGCTACTAGAAGTGATAATACCCTACGTTTACAGTTACTGCCTGGGTTTGGTATACAGAAAGGCTCTTGCTTATACTTATTCCTATAGTGGCCAAGGCCACTGCTGGCTCTTGTGTGCCACGCTGGGGGTGCCGGGAAGTAAAAGGGGTCACAAGGAAGCAAAAGGTTGCACCTCTGTGGAACAGACAGGACAGATGACCAGCAAGAGTATTCCATTCCATATATGTCATATTCAGTATAAAACTGAGAGATCATAGAGGTTAAGCCCCTTTCTTAAATAGCTAACATCCGAGGAGAACTCTGCACAATGTTCTGCCTTTGATCCCAATACTGAGTTCCTAAATCCAGATCCCGTATCCAGCTCCTCTCTGTTGCTGAGCCTGAGGCTTCCTTGGTGCAACCTGCTCTGCAACATCAGTGGTGATCGCTCTCAGGGGCAAGTTGGTTTTGTATATATTTGTATGCAGTAAATTATTTTCATTATTTTTTTATTATAGTATTATTGTTTTAGTTTTCCAATCTGTGTGTCTGCCTTATTCCCTTTCCCTTCTCATTTTGGAGAAAGAGAGGGCTTAGAGAGCATCCGTCATTGTTTGGTGGCTGGCCCAGCCCTAACCCTTGACATCAGTGGAAGAAACCAACTGGTTTACTGTGTAGAAAAGTTCAGCCCAACATTCAGCATTTCTTAACTTCTGTCCCAGTTATGTCTCTGTACACATCTTCATCTTAGATGCTTTTTGTCTGTCAGAATCGAAAGGGAAATAGTAAGATCTGAGCTCCCTGGCATTTTGGAGATGTCAGCAATGAAAACATAGGCCAGCAAGCACGCCTGTCAGTCTGTGCTACATGTCGCAAAAGCAGATGAGACTCTGCATGTGAATACCCTGTGATGTCTGAGATCTAGAAAAGTAGTTGTTTTCTTGCTATGTAAGTGGGTTTGTAGCTGCTGTGCTATCACTCTTAATATTTGATGATGTCCCATGGAAGGATTTAAGATTCTGCTAATGTACGCGCTTTTTACCTTCATGTTTTCTCTCACATTTTCTATTGCTTGACTTCCCCCCTGCAGTTTCTGATGTCGAAACCGATAAAAGCACTGGCCCATACGGGGATCAAACCCACGACCTTGGCGTTATTAGCACCATGCTCTAACGAAATGAGCTAACGAGCCCCGCCCATAGAATTGTAGAATGGCCTAGTCTGGAAGGGACCTTAGAGATCATTTAATCCAACCTCCCTGTCATGGGCAGAGACGCCTCTAAACTAGATCAGGCAACACATGGGGACCGAACGGGGATCGAACCAAACAACTTGGTTGTTCTAACCGACTGGGCTAAACCATAGTGAAGTGATTTTCAAAATGTTACTGTTGTAATTAGTAAGTAAAAAGGCATTTATTCAGCTTTGGTAAACATACTGTTCAAGTATATAGCATCTGTAAATCTTGAATTTCAGATTCTTTTGATCTTGTGTGTGTGTGTGCATGCGAGGAAATCATGGAGACTCACATTTTTCAGAATTTTTTGTGATTTAGAGGAAAAAAAACCCTAAATATAAAATATCAGAATAATAGCACCATTTTTGAAATCAATGTGCTATATTATCAAACAGTAGAAACTTGTAAATGAGGAAAACCTATGGTAACTAAAAAAATGGAAGGGCTCCAAGAGAAACTTGGTATTTTGCAGTTTCTGAGAAACTGAAAGTGTAAAGAAGTCCCTGGAGGGAAAAAAGACAACTCAAAACAACAAACTCCAGTGTTTTATGAAGTATTAGGCCTGTGTTTTCAAAGAGAGAGGATAGATATATACACAGAGTTCAAATGCTGGTCCTGTATTGTTTCTTTAGGTGATGAGAAAGTACAAAGCTCCCAAGTCACTGAGGCCAGCTACTGGTGGGGAATCATGATCATGTACTAGGTGTTTTTCATCGCGGTTACAAATTGTTTATTTATCTCTTCTTAGATTAACTGAGTCATTCATAAACTGTTCTGAGCAAAAGGCACTATAGAAAGCCATGAAAGATATGTTCTCAAAGGCTTTATGTGGTCTTTCAGGCAAATTAACTTCACATATTGCCTAGGTCTTGAAAGTACAAAGTTGTCGGGCTCAGATGATGAAACATCTCTATCCAGCTGCACTTTGCTTCTCTGCTGACTAAACTGTTAATTAATAAGTTAGCAGGCATGTAGTCCTCAAGTTGATATAAGGCAGTATTTTTTTAAATCTTGATTTACTATCATGTCATACAAATAAACCCTTATTTTTATAAGAGTGCAA